CGTGATGATGCGGTACATGAGGTCCTCGCGCGTCTGCACCGCCTCCTCCAGGCACTGCAGCTTGGAGCGCGCGCCCATCTCCGGGATGGAGAAGGGCAGCGTCACCGTGCGGTTGAGGTAGAGGTAGCCGTTGTCGGCCAGGCCCCGCATGCAGCTCGTCTGCTCCAGGCACGGCACGATCACGCTGGGGTCCACGGCCAGCAGGAAGATGAAGGGGCTGTTGGCGTCCGAGAGCAGCGTGTTCATGGCGTTGAGCACCCCGGCCACCTTCTCCGGGTAGCAGATGTCCAGGCTGGTGATCTCCAGCACCACGCGCAGCTGCCGCCGCTCGAAGATCTCCATGAAGGCCAGGAAGCCGACGAGCGCCTCCACCTCGCCGCGCACCTTGCTCATGAAGCCCAGCTGGCTCGTGAACTTCTCGCTGTTGGTCAGGCGCTCGATCTTCTTCTTCTCGCTCACAAAGAGGTTCTTGAGGATGGAGGCGGCGCCCAGCACCAAGCCGGAGCCCGAGAGCGACGCCACGGTGCTGCCGATGACCTTGAGCGCGTGGTTCTCCTTGACGCCGGGCACCAGCAGCGCCACGAGCAGCGCGGTGAGCCCGGCGCTCAGCACCACGAGCAGCCCCCACAGCTTGAGGCAGGTGCCCCTCTTGAGCTCCCACTCGCGCTGGCTGAAGCCGGCCGCGTAGCGGGGCCGGCTGCCCAGGACGTGGTAGACGCTGAGCGGCAGCGCGCCGAAGTGGTGGCGGATGCTGTCGCAGAGCGTGGTCACCAGCCCGGCCCAGAGCTTGTCGCAGCCGGCGTACTGCCAGGCGCTGAAGCGGATGAAGATGAACTCCATGTTCCTCCTCCGCAGGTGGAGCTCCGTGATGACGGGCTTGTAGAAGGCCAGGTACCAGAGGGCCAGCAGGAGCCCCCAGCCCTCGGGGCTGCGCGGCCGCTGGTGGCTCCGCAGCAGCTCGGCCTCCTCGCGCCGCGCCATCTCCTCCTTCATGAAGCCTGGGGACGGGCGGAGCGACGGCGTGGGTCACCGCCCGGGGGGCTCCCGGGACGGGCCACCATGGCACCACAACCCCGGGCTGCAACCGGGAGCTCCGCGGTGCGAGGGGGAGCTCGGGTGTTGGGGCAGATGAGGAGTCAATGGGCTGGAGGTGGTGCAAGGAGGACCTCGGATGTTGGGGCAGATGGGTTGGACATGCGAGGAGAACCTCAACGGTTGAGGAGCAAGTGGGTTGGCTGTGGTGGGAGAAGGAGCTCGCATGTTGGGGCAGATGGGTTGGACATGCGAGGAGAACCTCAACGGTTGAGGAACAAGTGGGTTCACTGTGGTGGGAGAAGGAGCTCGGGTGTTGGGGCAGATGAGGAGTCAATGGGCTGGAGGTGGTGCGAGGAGCAGCTCGGATGTTGGGACAAGGGGCTGGACATGCGAGGAGGAGCTCGGATGTTGGGGCAGATGGGCTGGATGTGATGGAAGGAGCAGCTTGGATGTTGGGGCRGATGGGTTGGACRTKCMAGGAGGACCTCAAYGGTTGAGGAGCAAGTGGGTTKGCWGTGGTGGGAGAAGGAGCKYGGRTGTTGGGGCAGATGGGCTGGATGTGGCTCTAGAGGAACCTCAAATCTTGAGGAGTCAATGGGCTGGATGTGGTGCAAAAGGGACCTCAAACGCTGGGGCAAGGGCTGGATGTGGCTCTAGAAGAACCTCAAAGGCTGAGGAGCAAATGGGCTGGACTTGGTTCAAGGACCTCAGACGTTGGGGCAGATGGACTGGACCTGCAAGAAGAACCTCAAAGGTTGAGGAGCAAGTGGGTGCGCTGTGGGTGAGAAGGAGCTCRGATGTTGGGGCAGAYGGGCTGGACACCAAGGAGCAGCTCGGATGTTGGGGCAGATGGGCAGGATGTGGTGCAAGGAGCTCGGATGCTGGGGCAGATGAGCTGGACACCAAGAAGGAGCTCGGATGCCGGGGCGGATGGACAGGACTTGCAGGAAGGAGCTCGGATGCTGGGGCAGATGAGGA